ACCAGCTGGACCACTGACCACCCTCTGATCCTGGCCACCCACCCCAATCCCATCCCCTTGTCCCAGGATCCCAGCCCAGCTCACCATGAGCCGCCGCATCCGCTCCTTCTCGATGCGCTCGTTCTCCTTCTTCTGCTCGCGCTCGGTGTTGGCGTGGTAGGTGGCCACGGCCTTGGTCAGCTTCTGGATCTTTCCGCTCACGCTCCGGTGGTATTCCTTGAAGTCCTTGGCGTGCTGCAGGATGCTGTTGAGGTATTCCTGCGGGAAGGGGGACACGGAGGTCACACGGTGGAGGTGGCACGAGGAGGTGGAATGGGGGAGTTGGAGGGGTTGGATGGAGGGGGCTGGAAGAGAGAGATGGGAATTGGAGGGTCCTAGTGGTCAGTAGAGGATCCCAATGGTCAGTAGAGGATCCCAATGGTCAGCAGAGGATCCCAATGGTCAGCAGAGGATCCCAATGGTCAGCAGAGGGTCCCTATGGTCAGCAGAGGATCCTAATGGTCAGCAGAGGGTCCCTATGGTCAGCAGAGGGTCCCAATGGTCAGCAGAGGATCCTAATGGTCAGCAGAGGGTCCCTATGGTCAGCAGAGGGTCCCGATGGTCAGCAGAGGGTCCCACAAGACATTGTATGGTCCCAATGGTCAGCAGAGGGTCCCAATGGTCAGTAAAGGGTCCCAATGGTCAGCAGAAGGTCCCAGTGGTCAGCAGAGGATCCCAATGACCGTCAGACGGTCCCAGCAGCCATCGTATGGTCCCAGTGGTCAGCAGAGGGTCCCAGTGGGCAGCAGAGGGTCCCAGTGGGCAGCAGAGGGTCTCAGTGGTCAGCAGAGGGTCCCAGCGGTCAGCAGAGGGTCCCAGCGGTCAGCAGAGGGTCTCAGTGGTCAGCAGACAGCCCCAGTGGTCAGCAGAGTGTCCCAGTGGTCAGCAGACAGCCCCAGCAGCCATCGTACATTCCCAATAACCATCAAGTTGTCCCAAGGCCCACCGAGCGTTCCCAACATCCACCACCCAACCTTTGACCACCACCACCACCACCACCCAGAGCCAAAACCATTCCCTGGAATCCCCGGAATTCCCGGGGAAGGCCCCACCTGGTGCTTCTGCCGGCGCTTCCTCTCCTGCTCGATCTTCTGCTGCTTCTCCAGCTTCTCGGTGATGCGGGCCTCGCGCAGCGACTGCCGCTTGCTGCGCTTGTAGGCCTTGGCGTTGAGCGCCGTCTCCAGCGCCGTGTCGCGCCGCATGCACACCACCACCTCCTGCCGCAGCTGCAACGCCAAAAAACAGCCCCGTGGTTGGTTTGGGGTGTTCCTGGTCCCAAAAAACTACTCCTGTGGCTGGTTTGGGGTGTTCCTGGTCCCAAAAAACAGCCCCGTGGTTGGTTTGGGGTGTTCCTGGTCACCAAAAAACAACCCTGTGGTTGGTTTGGGGTGTTCCTGCTCCCCAAAAAACTACTCCTGTGGTTGGTTTGGGGTGTTCCTGCTCACAAAAAACAACCCCATGGTTGGTTTGGGGTGTTCCTGGTCCCAAAAAACAACCCCGTGGTTGGGTTGGGGTGTTCCTGCTCACAAAAAACAACCCCATGGTTGGTTTGGGGGGTTCCTGCTCCCCAAAAACCACCCCTGTGGTTGGTTTGGGAGCCTCCACCACGTTCCGGCTCCCCCAAAAACAACCCCGTGGTTGGGTTGGGGTGTTCCTGCTCACAAAAAACAACCCCATGGTTGGTTTGGGGGGTTCCTGCTCCCCAAAAACCACCCCTGTGGTTGGTTTGGGAGCCTCCACCACGTTCCGGCTCCCCCAAAAACAACCCCGTGGTTGGGTTGGGGTGTTCCTGCTCACAAAAAACAACCCCATGGTTGGTTTGGGGGGTTCCTGCTCCCCAAAAACCACCCCTGTGGTTGGTTTGGGAGCCTCCACCACGTTCCGGCTCCCCCAAAAACAACCCCGTGGTTGGGTTGGGGTGTTCCTGCTCACAAAAAACAACCCCATGGTTGGTTTGGGGGGTTCCTGCTCCCCAAAAAACTACTCCTGTGGTTGGTTTGGGAGCCACCACCACGTTCCGGCTCACCCCGTGGTTGGTTTGGGGTGTTCCTACTCTCAAAAAACTACACCTGTGGTTGGTTTGGGATGTTCCTGGTCCCCAAAAAACAGCCCCGTGGTTGGTTTGGGGTGTTCCTGGTCCCCAAAAAACAGCCCCGTGGTTGGTTTGGGGTGTTCCTGCTCCCCAAAAAACAGCCCCGTGGTTGGTTTGGGGTGTTCCTACTCTCAAAAAACTACTCCTGTGGTTGGTTTGGGGTGTTCCTGCTCCCAAAAAACTACTCCTGTGGTTTATTTGGGAGCCACCACAACGTTCCTGCTCCCAAATCCTGAGGATTTTTTGGGACCCACCACAACGTTCCTGCTCCCAAATCCTGTGGGTTTTTTTGGGAGCCACCACAACATTCCTGCCCCCAAATCCTGAGGATTTTTTGGGAGCCACCACCACAACGTTCCTGCTCCCAAATCCTGGTGTTTTTGGCAGCCCCCACAACGTTCCTGCTCCCAAATCCTG